GAAAAAAATACTACAAATAAATTATCTGCTAGTAAGAAAATATTAATAATTTATTACTATAATAACTTATTATATAGTAATAAAAATATTTTTTATTTCTGATAGATACAAAGGGGCAATCAACTAATAGTAAATGAGGTAGAAAAAAGAAGCAGCCAGCTAGGCAAGATTCAACAGTAAATAATATTAGGAAAGCATTTCAGCATGATAGTAAGAAGTATAACTATTGTACTTAAAGAATATTTACTTATATATAGTATTTACTTATACAGTATTTCTTTTTATATTTTACAGATAATGAAACAATCGAAGAAAATGAAACAATCGAAGAAAATGATAGTGAAATTACAAGTAGTTATTTTTGTTTATTGTTGTTAGTTCTATTATATAATTATAAAACAAATAGGCCCACCACTACCAAAAAAACAAAAATCTTAAGATAAACAACCATTAGACAAAAATACAACAAAAAAATCAACAAAAAAATCAACAAGTTCTTATACGGATGTAATTAATTGTGATAATTCTGACCAAGAATCAATGCAAGATTCATCGAATTTAATACAAGATTTAGCTTTAGATACTGATAATAATAACATAACAGAGTCAAGATTAACTCTACCTTTACCTATAGACAATGAGAGATTATCTAATAATAAAAGATTTAAAGAACTTGATAGTAAGTAATTAATAAATAGATATTGATAAATAGTTAATTTAAGTATTCTAAATATTAAATAAAAATATTAAAATTAGATAATAATCAAGTATTACAAAAATCTGATAAACTTCAAGAAATTTCAAGTGAGTTTGAAGCTGCTGTTTAGTTGGCCAAACATCCACATATACTTGATTTAGCATTTGAAATGCGGCATGCGATATCATGAGCCTTGGAAAATTCTCAAAGCACTTCTAACATTTCATCAAGTGACAAAATATTATTGAATACTTTTTTGAATACTTCTTTAGTTCCTAATTAGGAATATATTTGTTTTTTTTTGGTTTTTTTTTTTGTAATGCTTTAGTTTTTTTTTTGTAATGCTTTGTTTTTTTTTTCTTTCCAAATTTTAATAGACAATGATAGCAAATCTTGAATCTGAAGCAAAAGCTTTATTTTTGCGAACAAAAAATAATACTCTCGCATTGTATACAGAATTAGTATCTGCTGTATGTGGTATCTCCAAAGCTGATAAAAAAATACCAGCACTAATTAAAAAAGTTGGTAGCTGTTTTGATGACTATTGTTATTATCTTCTTGCAAAGCTTCGAAAGAGAGCTGATGAGTGTTTGATTCAATTTGAGTAAGTCTTAAATAAATAAAATAAAAACTAAGCAATTAATAATATTATCTATCAAATTATAGTAATAATATTCCTACTGATGCACAATTACTGGAGTTTATCTCGGAAGATATATAGTATAAGGTACTATGTCAATTTTTTGAAGCAACAGAACAGCCTGCCTTCACCATAATAAAAAAATATGGAACGCCTTGGGTGATTTTGTCTGTGAAGCAAGTAAGAAAATTATTACTTCAAAATTAGAGGAAACTGATATAAAAATAGCACTTTGTAGTTGTGATGCAATTATAGTTGACTTGCAAATTCCAACTGTACTTGGTGTTGTCACTCGATTGTCAGTTCAAGATTTATTAAAATGTAAAACTAGTCGACAAAGAAGTAAATAAATATTAATATAGCAGTATTAGTTATATTCGCTGTTATAGAAATTAATTATTAAATACTTATTGTTACATCTGCAAGTAATAAATTTCGATTACAATAGATATATTTCTAATTACTATTTAGCACAAATATATTTTTAATATATTAGATTACTTGATCAAGTTATTTTTCTTTTGTTATAATGTAAGGATTATGTTATTAACAGAATATAATTCGGATCAATAAGCTTTAAGCACGATTATAAATTATAAAAATTCTAGTGCTGTATATAAAATCTAAAATACAGTATATATGATAAAAACTAAATTGTAAATATAGATATTATTATATTTATAATAAATATCTATTTTTTGTATATATTGA